GGAAGACGTCCTTGAACTCGTCGAGGATAGAGGTGAGGGCGGGGTCAGAGGGGGGAGCTTGATCGGGTTTGTCCGTTGGGAGTAAGTCCTCGGGACTTTCGCAGTCAAGGACAAGGCAATAGTAGGCGGAGTCGGGGTTCATGCGGGCCATGTGGAGGAATTGATGGGGGGTGACGGAGCCTTGGGAGGTCGGATATGGGAGATAGGGAATGTCGATGGTTGTGTCGGGGGGGGTGGTGAGGCGGAGGAAATTGGGGTGGAATGCGTATGGCATGTAGCGGTCCAGCCACAGTGTTCCTAAGACGATGTCACACATCAAATGCATCACATCAAATGAGACCTGACTGCGGAGGGTTCCTGCTCTCATGGTGGTCTTGGGAACCGTGCAGTCCACTACGACGGCGGTGTCTTTGTCCCCTAGACGGATCGTAATCGGGGAGTTGTAACCGGTAGAGGTAAGGTCGGCTTTCCTGACACACGCGTCGGTGATGAAGTTACCGGTGGCTCATATGTCGAGGAGAGGGTTGAAATCGGTGGGGAAGTGGGATAATCAAGGCACATGGGGAAAGGCCTACGTGCTACCGAATCACAAAGACCCTACCAAGTTCCGACCGATTTCTCCATCCTTTTCGGAACCAACAAGAGTAGCCAACAAGAGGGTGGCTTCAGCTATGAACTTCCCGCTCTTCTCACTACCAAAAAATGATCATTTCAACCTGAAGTCTACAGATCAGCTAAAGGCAGACTGGAGGAGATTGATAAATGGGCACAAAGCAATACGAATGGAGAACTCATGGGGGTGGCCTACGACATTAAAGAAATGTTCAGCAAGCTACCCCATGAGTCTATAAAGCAGGCTATTGAGTGAATATTGGGTATTTTTGAGAGAAAAGGGAAGCACTTTGTTCTTGTGAGAACAAGAGGCAAGGGTGCCTCCTTTGGGAAGAGGAAAGGAGAGGAAGGATGGGTGAAGGTAAGCTTTGATTCCATTAAAAYGATGGTAGATTTTGACCTGGAGAATTCGTATTCGTGGGCTTCRRRAAGACTGATCAGACAGAGAGAGGGTATTCCAATGGGGAAATCCAGTAGCYCCCCAATTGCATGCATTCTCTRTGCGTACTGTGAATCAAGTTCATGAAGAGTCTCGGTCGTGATGCTAAGTTAGTTAAAGGAATAAGATTAGTTGATGATGTCTCTATGTTTGTTTGGAATAGTTGGGTAAAGAGCAAGAAAGGGAAGGCTACAAGGCTGATCGACAARTTTGAGAACTCCTATGATTCGAACCTCACGCTAAAAAGGACWGATGGAGGATCGACTGAATGAGACTTTTTGGGTTGCCGGGTCAAGCTTGAGGGAAGGAGTGTTGAGTGCTGGTACCGCGCGAAGAATTTTGCAGAAATCTGGGAAAAAGGTGAGAGTCTGAGTTATAGGTGCTTTCAAGACTAGCTCCTATACCTGTGCAAGACAGAAACGCACTCTGATAAATGGGACGCTACATAAAATAAAAGCATGTCCTTTGAATGTTGAAAGAGTGGGGGAAAGCCTGCTCACGCTGAATCGTGGGCTTAGGCGACAAGGATTTCCAGATGAGATGTTCCGGAAAGTCCTGCGCAGTGTATATCGCCGTACGAATACGCCCCCGTCCGTGCATCCGAACGTCCTTACGTACGGCCCCCCCGGCGTCCGTACGGCATACTGACTTTCGGCCCTCCGTGATGAATTTGAGGTGAAAACGAGATGAGTTGGTAGTGGAGATAATGGTGTGTTGAGGTGGCGTTGTTCGTTGCCTAACCGGACAAGCCGATCGAGTCGAGCTTATTCCTCAACAACATCGAAGAAGGTGACAGAGGATGGGTTTGGAAGGAGGGTGGAGGAGCACGAAGCAATGGGGAGCATCTCAAGTGATGAAGGTTGCAACGCCTCGGGGTCATCCGATGGAGAGGGTGTCACCGGGGAGGGGGGAGGCGAACGGATTGTCGATGCCAAATGGGCCGTCGGTGGAACGGGGGATGTCACCGGCAGGTTGGCCGGCAGACGAGTTGTCGATGTCGGGACGAGGTCCTGGGGACTATATTCAGGACGAGGAGGGACCCGCGCCTGCGGAAGGGGGTGACGCGGAGGTTGCGGGTGGAGGGGCCGAGGATTGGCGTGTGAACTGTCCAGCATTGGGGCAGTTAGTTTGTTGGTGTCCTAACTGGGCGACAACGAAAACATCCACCCTTTGCCTGAAGGTAGGCTTTTTCCTCGGGTGTGAGTTTCTTGAGGCGGCCGGGGGGGATGGTCAGGGAATGGCGGTTGGAGCGATATCTCTTTTCCATTAGCAGAGGTGAATAGCAGAGAGTTCATCGGGGGAGAGTGATGTGGTGTCCAGTGGATCGGCGAGGGTGTCAAGGTCGAGGGAGGTGAACTCGTCCGAGGAGGTGATGGAGGTGGTGTCCTCGGAGGCGATGTTGTGGAAGAAGCGAGGGCGGGGAGAGGCTGATGTAAGTGCGGTCTTGTAGGGGGAGAGGATGAGGTCGAGTTGGAGGGTACGAGTGAGGAGGTCGGCGAGGGTCATGGGGGGCTCGTGGACAAGGGCGGCCGCCAGGTCTGTGCGGCAAACGCGCTTAACGCGCGAGATGAAAGCAAAATCGTTGACGACGTCAAAGGGGATTTGTTGACGAAGCGAGCGGACGTACTGTACAAAATGGTCGGTTGGTCCGGTTTGTTGGAGCCGACAGAATTGGTCGTTATAGTTGTCGACCGTTTTCTATGGGCGGAAGGTGGAGGTGATGAGGGTGGCCCACTCAAGGAAGGTGTGAGGTCGGAGACCGGCGTAATGGCGATTAGACATTTCGGTGTACCACCAACGAGCAGCGTTGTCCATAAGTTGGCCGCCAGCGATGGGGAGCCAGTGGATGACGGGGATGCCGTGGAGAGAGAAGGCTTGTTGGAGTTCGGTGACAAAGAGGAGGACATCCTCATGGGGTTGGCCCGAGAAGGTGGGGATTTCATTAACATGGAATGATGGGGGGATTTTGCCTTCTCTGGGGTTAATGGTGGCAAGGGTATTGAAATCAAGGGTGGGAGAGGGAGAGTCGAACGGGGTGAAATCATTGGCGGGGCTGGTGGGGATGAGAGCATTTGGGGGAAGTAGTGAACGAGCAGGATACACAGCTTGTGGAATGATCTGGGTATAGTTGGGGATGGTTGAGGTAATAGTGGAGGTGGATACGAGCGGTTTTGATTGGGGGGGGACGATTGATGACTGCGTTGCGGCAGGGGTTGTCGTCTTGGGCAAGGGGGGAGGTGGAGCGACCATGGTGGAGGTAGTGGTGGATGAGGGTGGGGGTGTACAAGTGGACGGTGTTGGTGTGGAGGTTGAAGCGAAGGCTTGTCCGAAGGAGGGGGTGGGTTGGGGTGTGGTGCAGAGGGGTGAGGTCGTGGTGACGACCGTGATGGCAGGAGAGTTTCCCTCGAGCGTGGTGACACGATCGGAGATGGCGGCCATGGTGCTGTTGATCGTGGCGAGGGAGGATTTGAGGGCGGTCAACGTTTGGAGGATAGTTGCGAGTTCGCGGGCAGTGTTGTTGACGGAGTCGGAACGAAGATCCGACATGTTGATGGAAGATTGGGCCATGGTGGGGGAAGAGGGGGTGGATGACGTGGCCGGAGCGGAAGTGGAGGCGGTAGCAGCGGATGTGGTAGCGGCAGCGGTGGCGGTGGCAACGGCGTCTGCAGCGGCAGCGGCGTCAGCGGCGGTGCGTTCGGAGGTCTTGGTTGGCGTGGTGGCATGTGGAGATGGGGGGGACAATTTCTATTTACAAGAACAGAGCGTCATCAAGTGATTTAGCAATGAAGGTAGCAGAGAATCGTAGAGCAAGAATTAGCGGGCAGCCATAGCCGAGCTGCTCCGCTGTGAGCTGGGTGTGACGCAGGGTGGTCCTTGGGTGCAAGTGGCATCTATGCGGTGTGGATCGGGGTTGTGAGTGTTTCGAGAGACATACCTGGTGCTGGAAGCGTGCGACATTGTCCGCTATATGCTCGTACTTCGGGGAGCTGTTGTTGTCAACATCGGCATTGTAGTATTAGGCTAGATAGGATCTGCCACAAGTAGTATGGGCGCCGAGCGCCAATAGGAGATCAACTCTTGTTCTTCGTTGATGATGATGAGAAACTATTTCAGCATTGTGAATTACGAACTATTGGTGTGTTCTGATTTGGTGAATCTCGTGATGCATGACTGCTGTTGGTTCGAGGTCAAGACTATCTGGACACATATGTATGATGCTGTTTGATTGTTGGAGTTCGCTAATGCTCATCTTCCTTGCAATTTGGTATCGGAGTTGTGGTACGATTGCGCTCATCTGGCGCTTGTCACTTTCCTCAGGCGGTACATACGTGCGGTCTGCTATGTGAGTGGGTTGTGATTGGTGTGTAGTGAGGAGGGGAAGTGACGAGTATTGGCGCCCCAAGTGTTGAGGGGCATCGCCTGGAAGGCTACGTGTAAATATTGGGTGTTCAAAGTGTGATGAGGTGGAATGGCGAGACAATGCTGGTTGTGCCGATGCTGTGATTGGTCATCGCAATCATCTTCAGATCATCTGGTGAGACTATCTCTGTGGTTGGGGGCAGCTTAAATGAGGTACGTTGCTCTTAACCTTATCTACCCTCTTCATCACTTCTTACCATGAGGTTGTGAGTTCTGTCTTGAGAGTCCTCTCATCGTGAGGTGTCGAGTGCGCTCAACCTTGAGAGTCGTGATTGTTCACGTGGAGCATCTTGGGGGAAGATGGGCGGAGCTTCTTGAAGGGCCCTGGACGAAGCACTCGGGTCACGGTCACCATGCCAACCCGCTGGGACTAGTACACGCATGCTTCGCTGCAAGTCGTTGGTTCTGCTGCTTGCGCATGATAGGGGTTAACTCGAGTGTGGCAGCCTTTACAAACGCTTACCAGACCGTCTATAAACATTTCTGGCTAGGGACTCGGCTCTGATCTGGCTGTGATCGTCGTCCTGCTGCGACGTAAAATAATTCCTGATGTCACTTGGGGGCGGACGTTAAATTGCCTCTTGATCAGCCAAATCATCCGAGTGGAAGGCTCGTCGGCGTACGAGGGTAAATAAGAGTGTTGTGACTTCAGATGCTTAGGGACGTGACACCGTGACATTGAGAAGAACTGTGGGAGGGGTAGGTTCCAGGTGATAAATTCGGGCTTAAATTCCATGCCATGAACAGACCCAGTCAGTCAACCTTATTTTTATTTTGATTAGTTAGATGGACAGCCATGTGACATCTGACAGACAGCATTAGTTTAGAATATTGTTTATTCCTGATGCTTCCTCTGTTTTGAGAACTAATCTTATTAAAAATAGTATTGACGGTAGGAATCTAACTTACCTGTTGACCCCAAATGAGATCTGTTCCAAAATAGCCACCATTAAATAGTTGGTCTGTGCACTATGCTGCGGTAAACATCCTGAATGATCTAGTGTAGGCGGTGCACAGTGTTGTAGCCTATGAGCGACAGTGAGGACACCGGAGAGGACGACCGCAGGATCTTGCGATCAGCCAGAGGCCCGATAACTCACGTGTCCCTAGGACCGGGAGGTGATAGGGAACTGTTCCGCCGGCAGCGGGAAAGGCAGCAGCAGAGGAGAGCTAGAGCAGTCGAGGCCAGCAGAACCTTAGTTGGCGAGGCCGGTGCTACAGCAGCCATGGCTACCACAGCCATGAGCAAGTCTGCGCAGCAGACTTCCCAAGCCGGAAGTTCGTGTACTGCCGGGTCCACGGTCGCACAGACTGTGAGTCAGTCCACTGGCTTAGCGGTAAGCCACCCCGCGGTGTCGCCATCCAACAGGCAGCCCTGCAGGAGGCACAGCTACAGCAGGCTTTAGGACATATAAAAAGGGAAAAAGAGATGATGATTAGAAGAAAAACCAGGATGCAACGGAGAGGGACAGACATAGAGGAGTTAGAGACGATGGACCTGACGCATATGGATGATGATGTGAAGGTAGTTAGGAGGGCCCTGCTAGGCGTAATTGAGATGCAGGAGCATCAAACTACCATCCTTCAGGACATTCAACAAAGCCTAGCCGTGTTGGCAGGCCGCGCTCAAGCACCAACATCACCAACAGGGCTTGGTGTCTAGCCCGTGCCATATCCTCCTTTTTCTGTTCCACCGGTGACTGGGGTATCCCCATATGTAGCCCCGTCATCGGTTGCTATCGTTTCCCTGGGATGCCTCTGTCAAGAGGGGTAACAGCAGGGAGTAGTTTACAGGTTCCTGTACAGACAGTGTTTACTCCAAGTCCGTCACAGGTTGCAGTCACCACGCAGCCTGCTGTCCTGCAGCCAGTGCAGCCTCAGGGCTCACAGCCCCAACAGCTAGCACAGCAACCTGTTTCATCGGGTCCACAGCCTGGAATGATGCAGGGACCGGGACAGACACAGTGGGTTCCAAAGACGGCCATCGCCGCTCCCAAACCTTTTACAAGGGACAAGAGAGGCGAGGACCTCGACACATGGTTGAGGGCAGTGCCGGTCTACGTCAGGTGCAAACTCACCTTGCCGCACGAAGAAGTGCTTGTGGCTGCCTCCTACCTCGAGGGTAGTGCAGCAAGATGGTTGAGTGGTCTAGTACAACTTCGGGGATACGGTCATGACTTCCGCGCTTGGGCGGCCTCCCATAAATTGGAGGACTTCCTGAAGCTGGTGGAAGAGAGGTGGCATGATCCTCAAGAGGCTCAAAGGGGCACTGACGCGATCCTGACACTGCACACACGGCAGTTTAAGTCAGTAAGGGAAGCCACCGACGCTGTTGAGCGTTTGATCTGTGTCCCTGGGGTACGCTATGATCCTCAGGTCCTGTTGACTTCGTACCTGAGATGTTTTTCACAGCCTCTCAGGAACCAGTTGGCAAAAGAGGCCAACATCAATATGCACAACTTTCCTTCGCTTAGCAAGGTGGCCCTAGACCTGGAAGCAAAGATAGGGCATGGACAGGTACCCACTACGGAGGGGAGAAAGAAGACACTGCCTCCCAACTAGAAGGCGAAGGGTCGCCTAATGTTTGTCGACAACGATGGTTCAACCATCGAGTTGGACGGCAACTTCCAGGAGGGAGTAGGTGCAGAGGCAGGTGGCGAAACTTCAGAGGGTGGAGTAGTCGCCRCCGTAACCCAACAAAAAGGTAAGGGGACCGGTAGACGYCGMGGAGGCTCCCGGTCTAGGAATCAGGTTGACCCCAATGCTCCTCCATGGGAGAAAGSRGGTCTTTMMGAGGACGTGTGGARAGATCGGTGGAACCGACAGGCCTGCATTCGTTGTGGTCAATACGGCCATAACCAGTTCAAATGTAGGAACAAAAAGGTCACCGATAAGATCCCGCCTACTATGGGGCAGGCGGTAGGATCCTCATCTCCCGTAGGTAGCAATGTTGCCAATTCGTCAGGCACTGCTCCGGGAAACACGTCAGGCCAGTAGGAATAGTAGCTGTTCCTACTAGGGACGAGGTGGTGGAGACACCCTCGCCATCTCGCATCATGGCCCAAGCTACTGATTCCCTTGTCGTCCCGCAAACGCATTCAGACCCATCGACCCTTTGCTCGATGAATGTGTTTGAGTCCTTAGAGGAGCTAGAGGAGGAGTGGTCTAGATTAGACCCGCTAGCTTCTTGGACGACACTAGCTAAAGCCCCGAAGGGTGAGATGTTCGTCAGCGAGATAGTCGTAGGCGGTCGCAAGGTCGGGGCCTATTATGACACTTGCTCGACACGAAACTTTATTAGTCGCGCGTGTGTTGAGAGGCTGCGTTTACAGGGGCAAGTGCAGCGCCTGAGTCGACCTGTGGAGTCGACCTGTGCCAACAAACAGCGCATGGTAGTCCATGACTACCTTCAGGATGTAGAATGCCTGTTCCCGTCCGCGGGAGGGGAGTTGAGGCATCGTGTCTCATTCCTAGTGAGCGACGATCTCCCCATGGATATCTTGTTAGGTATGTACTACCTCTCGGTTGCACAGCCCCAGTTCGACTGGGACCGAATAGTGGTCAAGCACACTTTGCCAGGTGGAGGGACTGCCAGATTACACAAGTTCAAAGCTAGTAGTCTAATCGATTCCCATGGATGCATGTGTGCGGCCGCGTTCTATAACTACTATAAGCAACGTCAGGAGGAGGGTATGTACTTAGTATATGTCTCTGCTGCAGGAGAGCCGGTGAAAATGCCGCCRGAGATAGAGGGAGTAGTTGCCAAGTACCGTGATCTATTTGAAGAGCCAACAAGGGTTGTTGATAGGGAGGTCGTCCACGCGATAGAGATTATCCCAGGGTCTAGTATTCTGAAGGGTAGGATCTATCGGATGTCTCCAGGCGAACTTGATGAGCTTCGCCGCCAAGTCAAGGAACTCAAAGAGAAGGGTTGGATCCGGCCGAGTGTCTCTCCTTAAGGATCTCCAGTACTATTCGTACCTAAGAAGGAGGGCACTCTCAGGATGTGCATTGACTATAGGGGCCTCAATGCCATCACTGTGAAGAACAGAGAGCCCCTACCGCGCATCGATGATCTGTTAGATAGAGTGCAAGGGTGTTGGTACTTTAGTAAGATAGATCTGAAGTCCGGGTACCATCAGATTGCAATCCGGCCCGAGGATCAACACAAAACCGCATTTCAGACCAGGTACGGTCAGTACGAGTTTGTGGTGATACTTTTTGGCCTTTGCAATGCTCCTGGCACCTTTCAGCACGCTATGAATCGGATATTCCATGACTACTTGGATAAGTTTGTCGTCGTGTAGCTCGATGACATACTTATTTTTAGTAAGACTGTCGAGGAGCACGTAGCACACTTAGACAAAGTTCTCAGTCTCCTG